TTAAACGACCACGACTGAACCCATATAAACAGATTCTATCCTTTTGGTTAATCTTTAATCCCCAAAAATGACCTTTTTCAAAAAGTCATTATAGCAAAATTTCATCTTACTATAATATCTTTAGAAGCTTAATAAATTTTTCCTGACAGAATTTATGTTAAAAATGTTCTCACGTCATCACTGAATGTACTAATGTCTCTGTCTCTTTTTCTGACAACAGTGGCTTGCAAATTGTAAGGCAACGTTTGCAGGAGGATCAAGAGATGGAGTAATTACCTGTCAACCAGGGGACTCAGAAGAAAAGGTAATAAAAGCCTGTTAGAATGTATCTTTTCTGTGCTCTGACATTGTGTGTTAGTTTTGATCTACCCAAGAAGTGTGGAACTTGAGAAAAGAAGAGGCTGAATGAGTCATCCCATCCATTTGCATAAACCAACAGAGTAAGACAGAATGATGTTCAAGCCATGCATGACTGTGTGTTGATGGGATTTGGGAGGGTTTTCTTTTTGTAAAAGTAGAGGTGTAAAAATAACCTTTTTTGCTGGATACTCTAACTATACTAATCATTCCCTAATAAATCCATTCTTAATTCAGAATATAAAACAAAGTCTCATTAATTCTTCACTGAACCCCTTAGTTCCTTCAGTGAAGAGAGTTTCTCTTCACCTTTTAGTTCTAAAACAGATTTTCTAATTTAGAATTGCTTTAAGTACACACCTCAGATCAGCATGCTGTGCTATAAAGGATATGGGACAGAAGAGTGTAAATGGACTAAAATCATTCATTCTGCTGTTTGGTAATGTGTGTCTTCTATATGGCCCCATTGGCAGATACAATAATGAGCAACAAACAAGGCCTCTGCCTTGTGGAGCTTCTGATCTTGTCAAGGAGGTAGACATTAATCAAAAAGTCCTATAGGCATAAACCGCAACAAGGGCCAGTAGGGACAGGAAAGTATGTAGCAAGGCCACCTGATCCCATGGGGAGGGTGGTTATGGGACGGCTTCTCCATGGAAGTGTCATCTAGGCACTATTCTAAGACATGAGCTGGAGTTAGCCAGGTGAACAGGGGTGGGAGGAGAGCCTGTGTGTAAGGCCCTGAGGCAGGGCGAACCTGGCCTTTCAAAGAACTGAAGACAGCCCCCGCGGCTGGGAGTGCAGAAAGCCACATGGAGAAAAGGTTGGGTCTTCCCAAATCTGGAGAATTTGGCAGAAGCCAGACCATGCAGGGCTTGGGTGTTTAACAGCAGTGGTCAGCAATTGAAAAGTAGTAATAGTGGGGATGACGAGATTAAGGTCTCCCACTCTGTCTACTGTGGAAACAGATCCAAGTGGCAAGAGCAGATAAGGGAAGTTAGGAGGCCGCTGCCCAGTCGAGGTGGAGAAAGTGTTACCTTGGAATTGCATCATCACCACTGGAAAAGCATTTTAGATTGTGTGCCCCTTAGAGGATCAAAATCATCTTCCTGTGTTAGAAACAGTACCTTACTTATGTGAAAAGAATCAAGTAAAGTTTGGTTTCTGCTCAGAAGTTTGTTGTAAAAATTTTCAGCCGAGTACTAATGTTTCAATTCCAATTTGGCCACTGTTACTGAGCAAATTTGCAGTCCTGAGAGTAACTCTCCATGCCAGCATTGAGTCACCTGGTGAACCCCTTGGTAAATTTTCATAAAGAGACCAGAGATCGAACATGCAAACTATAATACAAGGCTGAGAAATATCTAGATAGGGTATTGAAGTGCAGTTTGTATTTCCATATCACTGCCTTTCTTGAATACGCACGTTTATATTTCACTTTATGGTTTACAGAGAATGTTCATATCCCTTAAGTCATTTGATCTCTCTGGATGGGCAGCAGGCCTGGTAGCATCAGCCCATTCTGTAGGCAAAGAAACCAAAGCTTGACTTATCCGATGCTCCGCGGCTGATAAGTGACAAGTAGGACTGTAGCTTGGCCACAAAGTCTGGAAACAGGAAAATATACATAATAAATAGTTTGCTTATATTTTTAAAATAGGTATTGAATGACTTTACATGTTATTTCTCTCATAAGCAATGCATATTCGAATGTGCAGTTCAGAGTCACAATGAACTCCAGCATTTCCATCGATCCCTATATATTCATCTGTGATGTGCTGCCTCACATGGTTCATGACTCAGATTTTCACTGAATAACCTGTGCCATTACCATACCCCAGAAGAAGCAATACGTTTTTAGAAAATAAAATATTACCCAGGTTTAAGCTTTTATGGCCACCCAGTAGCGCCCATGGCTCCACTATAATCTGCTGTTAAGACAAATTCTGTCCAGAAAATACTTACCAGGTTAGAATTTACAATTAGCACAAACCTAGTCCAGTTCATAGTATAGTTGGTATAGTAGTATATAAAAATAATTAGTTATCTAAACATTTACCCTCAATCATCAAATTCTATTATATTCTCTATAATAAAACCTCAATCAGGAAAGTTTCATTAATACATTGCAGATTTTTAGGAACAAGGGTTGAAATCAAATCTATTATTTGTCTGTTTATAGCTTCCTGGTTAACCTTAAGGAGAACCAGAAAATCCAGTTAAATTATCCTATTTCCGAAACATCCTAATTTTAAAATAAGTGTTTCTATTGTGCTTATAGTTTATTTCTATTAAGTTGTTTCACTTTCTTTAATTGCTTCCTTTTTTCTTCCTGGTTCTTTTCCATCTTTCTCAAACAGATTTCTCTTATTTTTGCTTATTCCTCTCATTCATTTCTTTCTGATCCACCCTCTACCTTTCTTTGCTTCTATTTTATAGTACTTGTTCCTCCCCATCTCTTTTCTTGTATTTTTACCAAACCCAAGGATTAAGAAAATAGAGTTCATCTATTTACTCATTTATTTATCTGGGACAACTCTGTTAGCATTACAAAAAGGTTTGAGAGTACAAAAGTGGAAAGAAGAAAGTAAGGTTTTTCAAGTAATGTACATATATATTCTCATTTTGACCCTTTATAACAATCCTTTGAAATAAGGGTTTTTCCATTTTGCAGATAAGAAAACTGAACTGAGAGGCAAACTCCGAAGACCATATTCTTTCCATTTGTCCGTAACCTTCTCTTAGTTTTGGAAGCAAAACGTACACTTTGGAAAACGCTAGAGAATAATTTCTAGTATACATCTTAATGTCTAATATGGTTTTAGGTATCTGCATAAATAAGGAGGATATGTAATACACCCAGGAGGGATGAGAGTGGGATTTGTTATGAAAAGAATGACAGAAGGGCATATTCTGAGTCTGGTGTTTCCAACATTTTTGCAAAACCAACCAGGCTTTGACCCTATTGTTGGTATTAGCTAAGTGTATCAGAATTTTCCCAAGTTGCTCATGGTCACACTGGTGACTAGTGAACTCAGGCAATGGCCAGATGTCCTGAAGAAGATGCTTCTAATCCTGCATATGTGACAATTCTGGGGTCTGAGGCTGTTCTGGAAGGCAAATTGTATGCCACCTAACAAGAGAGGCTGGGTGATTTGTTTAAATCATCTGGATACTTGATTACATTATCTGTTTTGATTTGTTGGTAGACCCTGGAATGGCCACTGGGCATGGAGCTCACACCACACGCTCTCTAATTGCCTGAGCCTTGACTGAACCCCTGCTGAGCTGGAGACGTGGGTAGGCACTGGGGGTTCACAAATCAGGCAGCCTTGGTTCCCATCACAGGGAGGGCGCAACAAGGCTGGAAATGGGCTGAGAGAGCAAACTTGGGGAAAGAAGTCTTTATATGCTAAAGGTTGGCCTTGAGGAGAAATGATGGTGTCACTCCATTTAAATATCCAGATCTTATATCCAGAGTAGGTGGAGTTATTGTTTTGCTGATTGGAGCTATCATTTGGCTTCCATCCCAAAGCAATACCCAACAAATGGCCTCAGATGCTTATCTTCAAGTAATTCTCCCCAACTCTCTTTTTTAGTCAGGTTCTCTGTCTTCTGGAATAATTTGATATTGCCAATTATTCTTCACACCCTTTACCTGGGGACAGGTAGAATGGGGACAAGTGAGCTTATAACTTGCAGAATCTATATCTGGATGTACACTGCAAAGTCAACATAATGATTACACATGTGTATTCTATTTCAGAGAAGTATGCACTTTATGAAAGGACTAGTACCTAACTGATTAACCTAGTAAAGAGAATTCTTGAACAGTTAGATGTATCAGTCTAACAGAGACAGTGACAGTGTACAGACAGGCATGTGAAACCTTCCCAACCCCCAAACCATACCCAGTCTGATCTGCTCTTTGGAAATAGCCAATTCTAGTCATTCTTAACAAGTGATTTAAGTGAGGAATTGTTTGTGGACAAGAATATAACTTTTTGCTGAGTATCAAATATTTATTTTCCAATTTCTGTTCTGAACATGAAGTTGTAGACATCAAAATAATGAAGAAAGTTTACACACTGGTGGCCTATGAGCTGTAATCAGTTCACAGACGTGTTTTGTTAAGCTTGCATCATTTTTTATTAAACTTGTACATTATTTTTTAATTGACCCTGCATTTAAAAATTTTTAATTTTCATGTACACACATAACTCAAAAGAGGATTCCTGGTGTCTCTAAATAAGTAGATCTAGCAACCCTTTCTAAGTGGCAACAGTGAGCTAGAGCTAAAAATCAGCTCCCCCAAATGGACTCTTCACCATGCCCACTGCCCACTGAGTTCCCAGCACTGGAGGCAAGGCCTGGACACCAAACATCATGGCGCTTGGACTATTATTTTTCTTATAATAGAAAAGTATTTCTCTGTGCCTAAGTCCCCCAAATTCAGAATGAAAGCTAGAGAAGGCTGTGTGTTTCACTAAAATGGGAAAGAGTATTATTTTATTTGCATATGTGAGAAATATCTGTGTGTATAATATGCAAGTATCTGTCTGCAGAACCCACTCACAGTGGAGCATGTTGGAGGAGGATTCTCAGTGTGTGCTCAAAACAACAAAATGAACCATGTTTCTAAGAAAAGTCTTGCTAATACTTGGGAAGTATATTTTAGGGAAGATATTTTTTAAAAGACAGATGTGATTAGTAAATGACTTAGGCTTCTTGGTGATTATAACACTAATTCTCCTAGAATAAGGGGCAGCATAGACTAAATAGGGCATCAAACAGTGAGATAGTGAGATTTGCATGTCTCTTGTGAGATCAATTTCACTCATTTGCATAATAGACACTGCTATAGTGGTGTTTTCTCAGCCTGCACATATCAAATGGAGAGAGAAATCTCTTTACAACTTAAAACCAGCACTTCTAATTGAGGATTTT